TAAAATAACAAATAAAGGGTATAAATTAATATATATATATATATATATATATATTGAATATACAAACAATAAGTCTATTTTTTTATCACTTTTTTAATATATGCATCTGGATATATATATCAATTATATTTATTTTAAAATAATTTTATGAACTAATATTTTTAAAATAAAATTAAATGACACACACGTGTGGTGTAAGATATGACTCGCCCACTAAATTGATTCATCATAAAAATAAAGTAGTATTTTCGGTTGTATTTTCAATTTTTTCTTAATTTGTTAAAGCTATTAATAACAATAAATTTAAAAGATAAACAATTGTGAAATATAGATCGTGCTATCGAGTTTTGTTTTAGATTTTATGAATAATTTTACAAAAAAAAAAATACTAGATGGTTAGTCTTTGGTTACTAAATTGATTTCAGTGGATAGTGATTGAATTATTGAACGAAAAATTTAGAATATGAAGATATATCATGATAATTAAACAAATGTTATATGCTTAATATAGAAATACCGTATGCGGTTTGTAAGTCCAAGAGATTTTTTATAATCTATAAAATTGATCTTTGTAAGAAGAGATTTATAATAATTTATGTATTCTATTCAACTAATTAATTAACTAAGTTAAACCACATGATTAAAGGGATGTTGACTATAGCTGGCCCAAAAGGAGTAATTTCCATTTCAAAAATAAAAGGAAAGATGATGATTTTCTTTTTTATTCAACCATGAAAATATATTGTTGGTGTTGATGATGAAAGCTGAAACAATGGATGCTACGCTAACGCTGGTTCAAAAGGGAAAGTGAAGAGTCCTGGAAGCAAATAGGTTACAGTAGAATGCGAGCAATCAAATTAAACAGATTTATTTATTTTTGTGACACAAACCTAACAATTTGAAAGGATAATTAGGCACACAAATATTATTTTTGCTACGAGGAAATCCCTTGCGCACAAACAAATTAAACAACAACCAAAGTTGGGTGAATCTTCATGGGAAATATTTAAAGTTCATCTTTAGGAAATGATGAATGGTCCCTTGGATTGCTAGAGGACTTTTTGATTGGATAAGAAGCCTCCATTGCTATGCCACATAGACCTTTCTTATCAGATATGCTTCTTTGCATTCTAATGTAGCCCTTTTCTCCCCACTCAGATCCCCATGAGTTTTTCACAATCCAATATTTGGTTCCATCTTTAGTTGTTCCATACCCCACAATTGCTACTCCATGATCCAGATTAGTGCCACACTCTCCCGTAAATACTCCCTGTAATTAATTATTAAGTAAATTAAACTATTACACTCATATTTCATGAAATTGCACAAAACTTTTCTGTCTTTTTAACACTTACAACAAATTTCTTCATAAGAAGTTTTAGTATAATTTTTTTAAACAATTAAGGAAGATTAATATAATGGTTAAAGAGTGTCAGTGAAATGTTTATCAAATAATTAAAGAGTTAGTGCAAGAATAAACAGAGTAAAGTGTGTGCATGTAACTTCACAAAATCTCGAGTGTCTATATAATTTCCTCAAAACAAACCAAGTTAAGATCTCTAGCAAACTATTTTGTTTAGAAAACTAGAAAAGACGAATGTTTATTGGTGTTATTACACTTTGATTTTAAAAAGTATTCACAAAAAAATCCTGTGAAAGAGAGATTAATTAGAACTAAAATTTCACCTCTGAGTAGAACTGAAAGTTATATCCCGCAGCTTCAATGGCTACCGATACAGGTTGATTTGCAACAGCTTTGAGCAATGCAGCCTCGTTGTTCACGGGCACAGTCTCATGGCCATCAATTGACACTTTAGGTTCACTCTCCTGCAATATGAATGGTCTCTTTGCATCTTAAAATTCATAATCAATCAACTAAATTTGATTACTATTAAGCTCGATAAAGATGAGTGTGCACCTTTGATAAATCACAAATACCATCTTTTGCTTCATAAGGGTAATTGTTTTCCGTTGTTATACCATTTTGCTTGATAAAATCGAACGCATATTCCATTAACCCACCGTTGCATCCTTGATTCCCTGTAGTGTCACAATCTACAAGTTCTTGCTCAGACAAGGACACTAGCTTATGTGTCTTGATTTGGTTAATACCTTCAACAGCTACAATAGTTGAAAACGCCCAACAACTACCTATAACATGACATTAGAAAACAAGGAAACGTTGATCAAAACAAATAAAATGTATGGTGTGTATAAAGGACATGCAGAAGCTAATAGTTAGAGAAATTAATCTCTTTATATATATTGAGGAGTAATATCATTGAAATAAACATTATACCTCTTCCAAAACAAAACCTTTTTTATAGACATGCATGATCAAGAAATATGTTGGTAAACAAACAAGAATAATGTTAGGAATATCATGGGAACTATGTCATATTAAAGAAATATGCACAACAATATAAAAAGTGAGTTAAAAAGATAATGACCACTTAACAGATAAAAAGTGACTAGAATTTGACTCTTCACATGTACTTTCTAACTTTACATATCCTCATAAGTTAAATATAATCCTAGTGACTAGGCAGAAAAAAATGTTAATATTTTTTGCTTATTACCACATTGGCCTTGATCCTTTACACTAGTGACAGCACCTTTCTTCCTCCAATCCACAGAAGAAGGAACCCTATCAAAGTTGTGATACATGAAAGTACCATTCTCACGTGGCGTGCCTCGGAACCTTCTGTGATGATCAACCCTGGAGCCAGCATAGATGCTCCTGAATTCATGGTTGGTCATGTCAGCAAACCTGTTCAACTTCAGCTTGTAAGGCTTGTCCATTTTATTGGTATTGTGGACATGCATCACGTTGGCTTTGAACACGTTGAACCGGTTTTTCTTCTCACTGAGACTTCGAGAAACCGTGTGGTGGCTCCTCCATCTCTCGTACAAATCCCACAACCCTTCCTCGGATTCTAACTCATTTTCACTGAAATCAAGGCTCTTGGCCACTCCAAGAACCAAAGCAAACGATAGAGCAACCCATAGAACTTTCTTTACTTCCATGTTGTTGCTTTGCTTAATATCAGTTCAATGTAAGATGGGAATAGAGAGAGCATGGAGATGCTTTATATAGAGAAATGAAAACCAATTAGGCTCAAAGAAAAAATTAGAAAATAAATGAAGTTAAATGTAACTTATGGGCATCAACAATCAATAATGATGAACATGCAACTGATGCAAGGCTATACATTAACTTAATCATTGTTTTGGAGATTTCAGATACTAGAAGCAAACTCAAGATTTTTCTTATTGTGGAAATATAATTTGGCAGATTGGTTCCTAATTTAAAACTTTGTGTAAACATGCATGCTATATGTTTGTACGTGAGTTTGAAGGATCATTTTTGGGTTGCATGCAGATCACGCTATTGCCTTATAACGATGGAGAGTGATGGTTGAAGAAGGGTGAGGAGCATGGTTGCTTCTGGTTTTGAGCCACTATGAGAGTAACAACAAGTGGAGTGCAACGTTATGATAACCGTTTTTATCCGTAGCCTACATGATCGCTTGTGAAAGTAGTATAGTTCCATGTACAAAATTAAACAACAGAAGTGCAATCAATAATACTTCCTAACTGCATGAATAACGGATATTTACAGCGTATGTGGAGAACATGGTAAAACTAGAAAGTGATTATCATGACTTGCGATTTGGTAACATTGACATTGCATAGGAAAGATAATAAAGAGATTTTAAATTTTGATTAAAGTAGTTTATGTGTGAGTCAATGAGTGTATAGATTTTTACGTTAACTATCTTATAAAAGTCATATATAGTATGATTTCTAAGTGTAAAAATCACATTAAAAGTGTATAGATATTAAATTCTTCTGATTATTTTAATAGAATTAAAAGTAAAATAAAAATCTCTCACAATCTCACCTAGCGCACTAGCTTGTATCATTTCCTTTTCCTTGCTTGTTTTCTCAATACCAAATGATATTTGAAATTTGCTCATCATCAGCTTTTCATACACGTACAGTTTCTGTACAATTATAGCAGTACTACCATCGTGATAACTTCTATAGGTGGTTTGTTAAAAGATGATAATAAACACAAGATTGAGTTGGAGGAGCTTCGTTGCTGCTTTTAAGATGTGCTAAAATTCTGTTCTTATGAGAATATATTGTAATTAATTGGTAGGTAAGTCTAGAACTTTAAATTTTCAGCTTCTATTCTAGTTAACCGTTATTTAATATTTGGAGGTTACTTGGTCACGAGTTGGTTAGCTAATTTGCCAAAGGCTTTCTAGATATTTTTTTAGGTAAAAGAAAATGTTTTTGAGCACAATTTAAATTAGGACAACTTTTATTGTCTCTTTTGAATAGTATTTTCCACATGGATAAATATGAAGAAAAAATATGTTTAAATATGTTTTAAATTCATATAAATATCGTTCTGCCTTATTTAGTTATTGTAAAAAAAAGATTGTTATCTTTTAGATTCTAAGCATTTTCTTAATATTACTTTTTAGTTCTTATTATTAACTCTAATTAGTTTATTGTTATTAGTATTATTTTTACTTTTTAGTTTGTTAATTTATTTTTAACATTGTACTTTTTTAAATATTATAATTTATTTAGACACTTATAAAAATTTTAATATGTTACTTTTATTTTTTTATATTTAATTCATTGGTTTTGACCAATTGTATTATAATTTTCTTAATATATCAAATATAATGATTTAATCTCTAAAAGAAAAAATAATATATTAAAAGTAAATTATAAGCATCTACGTAATAATTGTACATTTTTAAAAAAGTAAAATGTTAAGACTAAGTTATTGAATTAAAAAGTAAGAACAATATTAAAAGTAATAAAAATATTTGTTCATCATAAGATATTCAAATTAAAATAATATTATAAAATTAAATTATATGTAATTGTTTTATTTATATAAAATAATAAATACATTTTTAGTTGAATATCTACCAAAAATAATCTCTTTTTTTTTTCTAATTTAAATTATTTTATTATCTTAATTATCTTAGGTTCATATTATTTATTTTGTTGGTCAGTTAATACTAAATTGATTAGGATTAACAGAAAAGACTGAAATTGAACATTAAAAAATTGTTAGAAATCTAAAAGTAACAAAAAAAAATGGAACGACTAAAACTATATAGTGATTAATTTTTGTAGATAATTAAAACATATTTAAACTATATAATAATAATAATAATAATAATAATAATAATAAGGGAATTTCAGTCCTCACTACCAACACGTGCTTATAAGGATTCTAGAATATGGATTGCTTGTACTGCTTTAACTTCATTTGCAGTTGTAGTCTGGCATCAAACTGATAGAGTCCAATTACAATTTGGATTATGGCAACCAATCCCCAATAAAGCTCATAATCTTGATAAAATGCACAAAATAGACATGAGAGGACATAGCGACACCAACTGGGCTGAACAACATGCAGACTGGATTTTCATTTGGAAAGACAGACGCAAACATGTTATTTTTAGGGAACCACTTCAGGGGCCTCTCCAACACACTCCGGAGTATTTACAATGGTTTCGTGCTAATTCTAAATTATTTCTTTGTAGCCAATATTCTTCATCTCATGCATCCACTTCTAGTACGCAACTCCCAACAACAACTGCAACAACATTCCCAATGGCTGGAGATAATCACCCACCTTATAGTGTGGAACAACATCCTCAGTCTTATCCATCATTTCATACGCACCATGAACAATTCATGTACACACCACCATCAACAACAACT